GGGGCAAGACCCACTGACAGTGACATGCTGCCCCTCGCAGTTACAACATTTGATGGTTTTGTTGCAGGTGGCAAAGAAGTGGCCCGTTTCGCCACACCTGCTGCAACGCTGTTCGTGTGTACAGTTGTGTTTGGTGTGGTTGAAGCGGTAGCATTTAAGGCACTGGTCAACCAGAATAAAGGTCTCGGGTTCTACATTATAGGTCGGGACGGATGTGTTAAACATCACAATCCCACGAGTCAAGAGTTTCTGGGCTTCCTCGGGCGCGGAGCAACGGATCTTAACGATCCGTGACTCAGGGGGTTTATAAACGTCTACGACAGTGACGTCGTTTTTAGCCGAGACTTCCGCCTGGATAGACTCGCACGATCGTGGCAGGATTGTCTTGTCGATCTTTTTAGCCACGACCGTGCATTTAGCCTTAGTCTCAGGGGAAGGGAGGGGTTTAAAGCCCTGGTCAGCGAGTTTCCGTTGGCCAGTCGAGGAGAGGAAGGGGGTCAGCTGTTCAGGCTTGGCAACAACAACCTTGTAGCCATTGTGAACTTTGAAACAGTGAGTTACGGCAACTTCTGTGATCGAGAAAATTTTCTGGAGAGCCACCTCACAGGAGATGGGCTCCCCAGAGTATGAGAGTTTGATTACGTGACCCATGGTGGCATGACGCAACGGTGATGATGATGGGAGAGGGTGAGGTTAGCAAAAGCTAATATCCGGATGATGCAAAGGTGGAAATGGGGTTCAAAAAAGTGAAGGCACACTATGGCAATAAGCAGTCTTTGTGTGTTAGGGCCGGTCGGGGTTAAAACCCTGCCGAACGGGAATTAACCCTTATAATTCGGCCGGCACCTCGCAGTAAAACTGCAGATTGCCACAGTGCGTCGTGCTTTTGATTATAAGCACTCTGGCCTATAAACAAAAGCATTAGCCTCAAGGCAAGGTAGCGTGATAGCACTCAGGCTATACACACAAGAGCCAAGGTCGTCTTTCGCGCGGGGGTGTCAATCTCTTTATTACTGCGAAGAAAACCCGCCGAAAACCTTGGGACCTAGAGGTCCTGAGAGCCCATATGATGCCCTGACCAGGTCAAAACGCGGCCTTAAGGCGAGGAGAACCGCCCAGCCGTTGTGGGCACGCCGCTTAGGTAGGCCGCGTGGGCGCCACGTGGCCACTGCAAGCCTCCATGTGGGGGCCACGCAGGCATATAATACCGATATAATGCACAGTATAAGGTGGTTTTCCGTAGCCTTCCTTCATCGCAGTGCAAGAGCCAGGGTCAGGATCACTGACCTGCCCCCTGCTGCTCTGTAACCATTTTGACTGTACGGTTCGGCTCTTCCGCCAGCTACAGATACTAGTGCAGCTGCTGCCCTACACTAGTTATGGATGGCCGTTGGCTCTATGTGTATATGTATATATGAATGTATATATATGTATGTACATGTATGCATGTATTAGTATATGTATAGATGCATATATATGTATATCTGTATGTATATATGTATAGATGTATATACATTTATATCTGTATGCATATATATATGTATGTATGTGTGTATAAGTACGTATATATATCTGTAGTATATGTATGTGTATCTATGTATATAAATGTATGTATGTATATGCATGTATGTATGTATACATGTATGTATATAAATATGTATATTCATGTGTTTATTTATGAAGGTATATATATATATATTCATTTGTATGTATACATATGTTTGTATATATGCATACATATATATTTATATACACAAGTGCATATTTATATTTATACATTATGTGTATATATATATATATATATATATATATATATATATATATATATATATATATATATATATATATATATATATATATATATATATATATATATATATATACATATATATATATTTATTTATATTTATATCTATTCATTATATATGTATATATATATATATATATATATATATATATATATATATATATATGTATACATATATATATATACATATATATATACACACACACACACACACACATATATATATATATATATATATATATATATATATATATATATATATATATATATGTATACATATATATATATATATATATATATATATATATATATATATATATATATGTATACATATATATATACATATATATATATATATATATATATATATATATATATATATATATATATATAGCTTTAATAGCTGCCAAATACAACGCCAAACGATTCACAGACATACTCCCAACACTATTACAGAAAAACGGCTACCCCAGCATTCTGATTCCTGAGGGAACCTTTACAGACGAAAACCTGTACATACCCGAATATCACACGCAAACAAACACAGATACCGAGGCTAGAGTGGTGCCCACCACATCAACACAGCCCTCTACCTCTCACGCACACGTACTCCCACAGCCACAACCACAACGCAAACCACGAGAAACCGTACAAGGAAAAACTACTAATAACACAAATGAACATAAACGCAAA